CCCCCCGCCCGGGCAGGGCCACGTGGCCGCTACCCGGAGAGCCCGAGCCGGGCGCCGGCCGATTCCCGCTACCCCAGAGGACGGAGGGGCCGCCCAGAGTTGTCCAGGGGCAGAGACGAGGCCAAGTGTCAAAATGGCCTTCGGCCGACTGCAACCCCCACCGAGAGTCACGAGAGCCACGCACCTCCCGCTCCGTCCCGGTTCGAGCCCCCGCCCCCATTCCGCGGAGAGCGGTGTATTGGGTGGGGCGAGGGTAAACACTTCCAGAAAGCCCCTAGCTTCACGTCCCAGCAGCCTCCCAGCATTCCAGACTAGGGTGTTCTGGTCCCAACTTCTCCATTTTCTGGGACTCCTGGGCTGAGAAAACCGGAGGAAACCCTAGTCTTGAGTCGGTCCACACGTCAATTACAACACGTCAGAGCCTGGGCCCTCCTTCTGGGAAAAGATTAACAAAGTCTTCGCTCCCCAACTCCTGAGTCAGCCAGTGGAAGGAGATGTGAGAGAGGGCACCAAGGCTAGCAAGGCGACTGTCGAATAAACTTCCCCCTCTTGTTCCTCTTCTCATCAGAAAATACCAAAGCTTTAATCACTCCCTTATCCCAGCACTCGGGAGGCAGAGGCAGGCGGATCTCTGTGAGTTCGAGGTCAACCTGGTCTATAGAGGAAGTTCCAGGACAGGCTCCAAAGCTACTGAGAAACCTTATCTTGAAAGGGAGGGAGGGAGGGAGGGGAAAGGGAAAGAAGGTTAAGGAAGGAAGAAAGAAAGAATTAGAACTCAAGGCTTTCTCAGGCCCCACGTTGGGCACCAAAATGTAGTTTTTTGGGTTTTGGGTTTTGGGTTTTTTTTTTAATTCTTTATATTTTGCTCTTTGAAGACCCACAACTCAACTCCCAAATAAATATACAACGACCCATTATTCTTTCTTATGAATGCCTGGCCTTAGCTTGACTTGTTTCTAGCTCGTGTGTGTGTGTGTGTGTGTGTGTGTGTGTGTGTGTGTGTGCCTCACTAAATTGTTCAGGATGACTTTGAATTTCTTAAATTAGCCCGTCTATCTTTTGTTTTTGGACTTTTATCTTTATCCTATATATCTTTCTTTTCTTCTTACTCCGAGGCTTGCTGTGTAGCTGGGTGGCTGGCCCCTGGAGTCCTCCCTGCTCCCTGTTCCCACTCCTCAAACTTCCATCTTCCCCGATTTCTCCTATGCATTCTCTTGCTTGCCAGCTCCACCTAACTTTTCCCTGCCTTGCTATTGGCCGTTCAGCTCTTTATGAAATCAATCAGGTGTTTTAGGCAGGCAAAGTAACACAGTTTCACAGAGTGAAACAAATACATGTAAAAGGGTACAACACACCTTTGCATCACTAAACAAATGTTCCACAGCATAAACAAATGTAACACACCTTAAAATCAGGCGTCCTTTCCTGACCTCACATCGCACCATACATAGACATACACCACACATACAGAGAGAGGTAACATGCATGAAAACAGACAGACCTGGAGGTCTCGCAAAGACAGGCATCACGTGTTTTCTCTTATGTGGAGTCTGGATTTTTAAGAGGAGATGAAAGTAAATGCAGGATTGTTAGGGATGTGGAAGGGAAAAGAAAACAGAGGATGAATAAGAGGGAATAACAGGGGGTCAGAGAGATGGTTTAGCGGCTAAGAGCACTGACTGCTCTTCCAGAGGACCTAGGTTCAATTCCCAGCACCCACATGGCAGCTCACAGCTGTCTGTCTATTCCCACCCTCACATAGACATATATACAGGCAAAAACACCAATAAAATTAAAAATAAAGAGGGAATAGCAGGGGTAAATAGTTATGTATGAAGCCAGGCAGTGGTAGCAGACCCACACTTGGCAGGCAGAGATAGACGAATCTCTGAGAGTTCGATGCCAGCCTTGCCTACAGAGTGAGTTCCAAGACAGCCAGAACTACACAGAGAAACCTGTCTCCAAAAAAGAAAAAGAAAAAGAAAGAAAGAAAGAAATGTCATAATGAAGTCCCAACAATGCTGCCTCATCCAGCACAGCATGAGCCCTGGAGAGCTGACTGGGCTAGTGAGGGATGAACAGGCACATAGACAGAAAAGCTGGCACCGGTGGAGCGTGTGTGCTTTCTGGTGGAGACGCTCTCAGCACGTTTACTGTGTTTACTGAACAGTGACATGAGAAGGGGTGGGAGCCTTCTGTAGGGAGCGGCCTGGGGCTGTAAACAACAGGTGGGAGGAAGCTGCTGTCTGATGCTTTCTGTGAACTCTGTCAGCATCCACACAGGAACCCAAGGAAGGCTTTGCTGATTCCTCTGGGTCTGTGGCATGGAGTCTTTAATACAGCTGTGCTCACACTACTCGGGCCTTCATCTGCCCTGACACACTGGCTCGGGGCTTACTTCACTTCCCACACAACGTAAATCCACTGTAAAGGAAAATGCAAAGATAAGGCTGGGCTGGGCTGGCTGGGCCGAGAAGTTTCCAGAATTACATCCTCCCAGAAGAGTGCACCAAGCACATCTGAGACCTGGCTCTCCCTTATCACCGCAGGATATAGAGGAGAAGTCAAGATGCCTTAGAAGAGAGCATTCAGGAGTTTTCTTATTGTGTTTCTAGTAGAAGCCAGGCCTGTACTGGGCACAGGGCAGCAAGGAGAGAAAGAGAGTTGGTCTGTCCTCTGCCGTGTTTTCTGCACAGTGAAGAAGGGCAGAAACTCCTGGTGAGCCACGGAGCTCTGGGGGAGAGCGGACTCCAAGGTGGGTAGTATTCTCCAAGGTAACCTTGCTGAATAAAAGGGAGGCTCTCAGCTTCGGGGATGGGGAATGAGAATTAGCCATCGGCAGGTCATTGGGCTTGGAGGGGCAGGGGGGCTGTCAGTGGTGACCACGTGTTTATTATCATGTTCAGGGCCCTGGGTTCTGTCTCTATCAATGCAAAAAAATTTAAAATAAAATTCTCTAGCTTTGATAGTGATATGATAATGCAGGAAAATCCGTCTAACTCTTTGAAGGTGCCTGCTAAAATACGGAAGGGTGCCACCTCATGCCTGAGCTGTGTTTGGAATACTGGGAGACAATAAACAAAGCTGAAAGATGAAAAGTAACAGGATGGTGAGTTCTATTGCTGCCTATTACTAGTTAGTACTAGTTATTACTAGTTATTACTGCTTATTACTAGTTATTACTAGTTCCATCACCCAAAGCCACCTTGGGTATGTCCCAAAGGCGAACACGATGGGAAGGAGGGTAATGGGAAGCCCTTGAGAAGGTAACAGGAGCCTAGAAATTGGGCTTACGACACTGGGGTGACAGCCACCATTCATGGGGCAGCAGTCAAGAAAGGAGATGTCACCTAACTTAGGAAGCTCCAGACTGGTATCCAGGTGGCCACATCTTACCAGAGGTTGGATGTGAAACTTGGGAGACAAGGAACAGTCTAGAGACAAAAGCCAATGTGTCCGTGCCACTCTGGAATCACCTGAGTACAGCAACTCAGAGACAGCCTGGACTGCGTATCAAGAACCCGTTTCTTAAGGATTCGTTAGTTCATCTACAAATGGGTGGGCAAGAAGGAAAAAAGCGAGCCTCTGGAAGGCTTTACATTTATAAAAAAAAACACATAGGTGTGGACCGGGGAGATAGCTTACTCAATAAAGTGCTTGCTGATCCTCCCCACACACCTCCACACCCGTGCACACACCTCCACACCATGCACACACCTCCACACCTGTGCACACACCTCCACACCCGTGCACACACACAGAGGGGACAGAAACAGGTCGAAGTAGCCAGTAAAAGGACTAAAAGGGAGAGGTTGGGCCTTTTCACTATGCCAGACTTTGTGCCAAGAGCCTTCCCCAGCCCACTAAGAATTAATCATCGCAGCAGTCCTTTAGGTCAATATTGTCTTTCCTGTCTTACAGTTATTTATAGTGTGTGTGTGTGTGTGTGTGTGTGTGTGTGTGTGTGTGTGTGTGTGGAGGTCAGAGGACGACTTCCAGGAGTCAGTTCTCTCCTTCCACTGTGTGGTCTTCCGGCTCCTTTCTGTCTTAGAGATAAGGAAACTGGCTGACCACGTGGAGTAACATTCCCAGAGTCAGTTAGGTCAGTCTTCGAATTTTTCGTTCGCTTTTTTGTTTCATCTATTTATCTCTTTCTTCCTTTCTTTTTTCTTTTCTTTCTTTTTCCTTTTCTTTCTTTCTTTCTTTCTTCCTTTCTTTCTTTTTTAAAGACAAGGTCTCCGGCTGTCCTGGAACTCAGTGTGTAGACCATACCGGCCTCGAATTCACAGAGATCCACCCTGCCGCTTGAGTGCAGGGACTAAAGGTGATTGCCACACACCCCACCTGTTTTGGAATTTGAACCCAGATCACAAAAGAGAGAATGGGAGCATCACCCAGGAAAGGAGACAGACGGGCACCAGAGCAGAACGCCCCAGCCTGTCACGCCATAGATGCACCCCACAAAGGTGAGAGCTGTGAAACTCTAAAGCCTGTACTTTTTCCCTTTCACGGGAGACTTTTAAAAGACAACAAGAGAGGAGAGAGAGCAGGAGGAAGCTCACAGAACCGCGGGAGCCACGAGTGCCAAAGAGTGCGGAGAGAGAGGTCAGCTTAGGTGAGCAGCAAGAAGTGGCCATTAGGCGGTGTGGTGTCCTGAACTGCCTCAGGGACACTTGTGGGACCGGGGAGCAAGAGGAAGAACTGGGTACAGATGAACGAACAGGGGGAGATAGGGCATGAAGATGAAGAGAATCACCTCCCACCACCCAGGGGGATGCCGCAGAAAGGGCTAGGGCAAGTTGCTGCAAAGGCACAGTTGGGGAAACAGGAGAAAGCTAGGAAGACCTAGCGAATGAGTCTGTATGGAACTGGGGGGTGGGGGAGGGGACCCGGTAGTCAGCCTAGCCACTTCGGGGTCAATATGGTAGTACTGTGGGGTGCTGGGTATGAGGGCGGAGGAAGTGTGTTTACGGATGTTCAGTGAAGGAAGACAAAAACTCTGGAGAGATGGCTCGGCGGTTAAGCTCACTGGCTGCCCTTATAGAGAGCCCACGTTTGCTTCCCAGCACCAAGAGAGAAGCTCACAATCTTCTATAACTCCAGTCCCAGAGGATCCGATACCTCTTCTGAACTCCCCGGGCTCTATACACACAGCACAAACACACACACGCTCAGGCGCACATCTATATACATAAATATATTTTTGAATTATGGGGATCAGTGGCAGGCATGGTTCTAAGACACAAATTACTTAAAGCCATTTAACTCCACCTTAAAATATACGTATAATGAGCCAACTAGATGGCTCAACATGCCCAGTCCCTACGCAATCCTATGTTGGGCTTTGAATCTTAAGGCCCTTGAGTAATAGAGAAAACACTCCCAGACGGCAGGCTCAGATCAAAGCGACGCTGAGGCCAGAGCTGTGTGCGCGGGTCTCCAGTACACACAGTTACAAACACACACACTCAGGCACAAAGAATCACAGGGCATTCCCAGCACAGCCCTCCAGTCTGACACAGAACCGCTCTGTGCCAGTGCTGAATGCATCCCCGAGAGGAGCATACCCCACACAGGGACCGTCACTCTGCTCTGTCGATCGGTTGAGTCTGGGGACATAGAGGGGGCTATGGTGGCCAACTGTGCCAGTTCCAGTTCCTACTGTTTCACAGGCTATAGATGGCTGGGTTACCCAAGAGGACACATTGCCCAATCCCCTCTGTCCTCACTGTGAGGAAGAAAAGACTCAGAGTAATAGAGCTAGTGGCTCAGAATCAACCTGCTGGTAAGAGTAGGGGTGTCATGCCTGTCCCCAGCAGGATGCTCCCCAAGATAGATGCCCCTGACCCCTCTTCTGTCAACTCCAGTCTAGTGGAAGGAGAGCAACTCACCCTCTCAGTTCCCGAGGCAGTTCTGAGGCTCACGAAAGGAATGCAGAGGGCTGACTTTCTTCCCTAAGACAGTAAGGCTAGGGCTCCAGTTCAGTTCAGCAGAAAAGTGCTTATCTTGCATGCTTGAGGCCCAAGGTTCAATCTCTAGCACTAATAAGAAGAAGCTAAGGGGCAGGGATGTGGCTTGGCTGGTAGGTTGCTCGCCAGTCATGCATAAAGGCCTAAGTTCAACCCACAGCCCTGCACAAATTAGACATGGTGGCACAGGCTGTAATCCTGGAATTTAGGAGATGGAGGTCCTCCTCAACTACAAGGAGACTCTCAGACCAGTCTGAGCAACTTGAGACTCTGCTTCAAAAACAAAATAAAGGCTTTGTCTTATTATTATTATTATTGGGTTTTGTTTGTTTGTTTGTTTGTTTGTTTTGAGACAGGGTCTTGCTCTGTAGCTCAGGCTGTCTTGAAACTCACTATGTAGACCAGGCTGGCCTCCAACTCATAGAAGTCTGACTGCCTCTGCCTTCCAAGTGCTGGGATTTAAAGATGTGTACGGCTATGCCTGGCATATTATCTTTGGACTTATGGGAATTAAAATAACTTTGCCTACCTGCCAGGTGGTGGTGCCCAGCACTCCAGGAGGCAGAGGCAGGCAGATCTCTGTGTTCCAGTCAAGGGAAACCCTGTCTCAAAAAACCAAAATATTGATAATAATAACAATAATAATACAAAGAAAATAACTTTGCTTTGATGGACTAGAGAGGTGACTCAGTGGTTAAGAGACCTTATTGCACTTCCAGAGGACCTGTGATCAGCCCCCAGCACCCACATCAGGGATCTGACACCTTTTTCTGACTTCTGTGGGCATCTTCATGTTTCTCCTGAGACAGAAGCAAAGCTAGGGGTTTGTTGGTTACCTCGTGAGTCGAATCCTTGGGACTGAAAGCCAAAGACCCTAGGCAGGGGCCGAGGAAAAACTCATTCCCTCGCTCATTCCAAGTACTAAAAACTAAGTTATAGCCAGGCGGTGGTGGTGCACGCCTTTAATCCCAGCACTCGGGAGGCAGAGGCTGGCGGATCTCTGTGAGTTCAAGGCCACCCAGGCCTACAGAGCAAGTTCCAGGACAGCCAGGGTTGTTACACAGAGAAACCCTGTCTTGAAAAAACAAAAACAAAACTAAATGACTCTAGTCCTAGAGTGTGGAAATGAGTAGAACACGGTCCTACCTTGAAGACGCTACAGGCAGAACAGGGGAGATAGCTTGACTGTTGAGAGCACTGGCTGCTCTTCTAAAGGACCAGAGTTCAGTTCCTAGCACCCACATGGTAGCTTATGACTGTAACTCTAGCTCTAAGGGCTCTGGCGCCCTCTTCTGGCCTCCCTGGCACAAGGCATACATGCAGTGCACATATATACATTCAGGAAAGATACTTACACATACAAAAAGCAAACAAATCTTTTTAAAAAGGGGGGGGGGCTGGAGAGAAGGCTCAGAGGTTAAGAGCACTGGCTGCTCTTCCAGAGGTCCTGAGTTCAATTCCCAGCAACCACGTGGTGGCTCACAACCATTTGTGAGACCTGGTGCCCTCTCCTGGTGGGCAGGCATACATGCAGACAGAACATTGTATCCATAATAAATAAATAAATAATTTTTTAAAAATCTTTAAAAAAAGAAAAACTGAAGATGATTGCAGCCTGCTGACACAGATGAAACTACAGTGTGGTGATGTCTATAACGCTGAGAGGCCCTGGATTCTGGGAGCTGCCCAGCACAGCGCAGTGGATGCAGGAGAGCAGCAACTACCTAAGATGGGGCCAGGGGTGGTGGCACATACCGGGGAATAGAGGTAAAGACATCTCTGTGTGCGAGGCCAGCCTTATCTACCTAGAGAGCTCCAGGACAGCCAGGGCTACCTAATGAGAGCCTGTTTCAAAAACAAACCAACCTAAGATGTTTGCCCAAAAAACCGAGGGCTTCGTAAAGGGCCCACTGGATGCTGGTCTCAACCCAGTCAAGAGTCTTACATGGGGGCAGCAAGCCGGCCAACAACGAAGAGAAGTATCCAGATTAGAATGGGTAAGGAATGCTAGCAATGCCCAGGCCAATTCTCTGATTCTCCTCACACCCTCAACACACACATACACACACACACCACCACCACCACCACCATTCTCTTCTGGGCAACCACTTTGATCTTTGCACCCATGGACTCTCTTGACTTCCCTCTGAGGTAGGATTTCCTTGGAATTCTCCTCCTGCCACCCTCTCGCCAGCTTCCCTCATCTGACAGCTCAGGTCACGCTGTCGGTGCCTGTCTCAGACCATCTCATCTGCCAGCTTCTCCACGTCCCTGGAAGGGTAAGCATAGAGCTCAGAACCCCTCCTTTTCTTAGACTGGGAACATGGCGCCCCCTGCTGGAAGATCCCATCTGGCCCTGAAGTTAGGATTTCAAGGCCCTTGAGAGGGAGCCACCACGGAAGAAAGACAGAAAAGGTGGGGGAGGCCTGGAAAAACCCAGAGTAAAAAGCAAAGGGCAGAATCGGAAGGCTGACATTCCCTAAGGTTAGAGAAGATTGGTTGGAATTCGGAGACCATGACCCCTAATGATTCTTACACTCTCCAAAGTGTGCTGTGCCTCCCCGATCACCGCTACAGGCCCTAGCACAAACTCTTTGGATCCTTTCTCCCAGCCCCCAGCTTCTCTTAGAGAAACTAAAGTTAGCGGGGCTGCCAAGGGACGAAGGCAAGATAAGTATAGGGCTTGGGAAACATGATATGTGAAGGGGCAATAATTACACAATAAGGTCCTCTCGGGGACTGCAGGGTTTGTGGCCAGCGGCTTTGGAAGGGTCCACTCCTATAGCGCACTACCCCAGCCACAAAGAGCCTCTCTGCATCCTCAGAGGCACGCACTAAAAGGGAAAGAGAGTCAACAGTTAGGGATGCCCTCCCGTCCCTCCTCACCCAACCCAAGAAAGCCATGGAATAAAGTCGTTAACCCCGAAGATGAAAAAGTGAGAGGAGATAGGAGTAGGGAACCTCGTCTACCACCCCACCGTGACCTGACCCTGCGTAACCTCAGAAGCTAAACAGGGTAGGACCTGGGGAAATTCTCTGCGAGGAGGCAGCTCTGACGTACAAAGCCGGAGGGTGCTGCATGGCTGGGAAACAGAACAGTCCCCATCTTCGTGGCAGCACCTAGGAGCGCAGCCTCGGTCGACCTCGAACACTGGGCGCTGGCGATAGAATCCCAGGAACAGACGTTCTTGTTTTTAAGGTTGTTAGCAGACCTCCTACCCTAGAAAGCACTTCTGTCCCTCTGCCAGGTCCTGCCCCTTGGTACAGCGAAGCTGCGGTCCCTCCTTCTGGCCACCAGCTCATAACCTTCAAACTTCAACACCAGTCTCAAGCCCCTGCCCACGTTTGCTACGAGCGAGTCAGGACCTTGAAGGAAGCGGACCTGAAGGTTGCCTGGGTAGGACTTGGAGAGCGGGCTCCCTGTAGTAGGAAGGCAGTTACCAGGGAGACTGGGACACTGGGCTGGGACCCGAGCCAGGGTTGGCATACACCCGGATAAGTAAAGGGTGGTTGGTTGGTTGATTGCTTGCTTGCTTGCTTGCTTGCTTGCTTGCTTGCTTGCTTGCTTGCTTGCTTG